AGGAGGGGAAGAGAAAATGGTGAGACAAAGTTCAGTGACTCTGACTGACAAACCAGAGATCAAGTACAAAAGTGTAGGTCATTCTAATTTTTATTTAGCACAAAAAAGCCGAAACAAACAATAAAAAGCCCACAAACACCAAATAGCTCAGCCAGTTATTACAAATGAAGAATTTCTCAAAAGCGTTTTTGGTTAAATGTATCTTTTGTAATGAAAAGCATGCTTTAATATTATTGCTTTCATAAGCTTAATGTATGAAGCCTAAAACATTTACAGATACTTCATCAGGCAAAATTCTCTAGTTTTCACTATCATAATGAATCACGGTAACAGTATACTAGGATTCACCAAATTAAACTTCACAGAAGTTCAGTCAAATGCAAAGATTTACCTGTTTGTTTCTTCCAGGTAATGAAGAGACAAGCTGAAAAACTGCAACCCGACCTGAGGCTGTACCAACAGCAACAAGATCATCGAAACAACTCAACAGCTTTACAAAAGTAATAGATTCACACTTCCCCTGTTGAAAGAAACCATACATAAAACTCTCAAAGTTAATGACGAACAGCAGCTCGATTCTGAGCAACTCAGCTTCACTAGAAGAGACAAGAGTTGAAGTCTGCATTTACCTCAAAATTGTATTTTTTCATCTGGTTTAAATGCCTGCAGTAGAGATAAAGCATTCCAATGCTGCTCCCCACAGCAATGTAGTCTCCATTGGTATCCAGTGCTGTGAGGTACACCACAATAGAGCGAAAGCCTTTTTGGATCTTGGTAGGAATGGCATTGAGAAGATAATACAAGGGACAAAACTCCTTAAATACAACCGGTGAAGCCACAGATGCCATAGCAAGCATTGGCATCAGCGATTTTAAGGCTAATATAAATGCATCTGCTTGACCACATAAAGAAACCTGAAAGGCAAAAGACATGTCATTAACTTATTTATGAAGAGTGAACAGTTAACAGAAAGCCACCATTTAGCAAGTAGGGGTACAGAAATTTTCAGTTTCTGTTTTGTACAAAGAAAAGCAAGTTAAACTTTTATAGTGAATGTAAGGCATTTTTAGAAGAACCTTTTTATTAAGAATAAGCTTGTTTCTTAGGTTCAGCCAGTATCTAAAGATGTATGGTAACCACTAAATATGGGATAACCACTTTTTCTTGCACCTGTGACTTCATCAAAGTTGAGTTCAGCTTCAGTATTCTTCTCATCTGGTAGTGAAAGAATTGTAAGGGCTCTGACACTGAACAACCCATGCAGTGTTATTTCTTCATCTGTCTGCTAACTACACCCCCAATCCTCCCAGTGCTTAGAAGATGGGATATTCACTGTGTTAGTGCTGTAAGGTCAAAGTGTCAAACTAGTATTTATGCTCAACTCCTTCATGCCCCACACCCCAAGAAAAACATGGTTGAGAAATAATTCAGGCAGAGCTGCACATGCTATATAATCAAATAACAAAAAAAAAAAGAATCGTGTGGGAAGAAAGAGGCAAGGCAAAAATGAAATACCAGTTTGACAGATATAGGAAAATATTCACATGGCAACTGAATTTGGAAAGATTAAGAGCAAACAGGAAAAAGCACCATATGCCCATGTTTGCTTTTATGGCTAAGCAAACAATTTCATGCTGATGAGCGACACTGTAAATATACTTAGGTGACAACTCTGTTATCTTTCCAAGAATAGTGGAAACATAGATGGTTTGCCTTCTTCAAGAAAAAAATACAGTCACAGCTCATCATAGCAATAACATAATAGGATCATTAGAAAAAACTGGTGTGACCCTGAGATATGTAGAAATATTTTAAAATTTAACTAAATCCAGTAACTTTTCTCATTGTGGAGTGACAGCCTTGACAAGAACATTTTGCAGCTGTTCTCCTCATGGATGACTTTGAAGTGCAGGAAAGAAACCTTCACTTCTTAAATTTTATTTTGCCACAAGCAAGTCCAATTAACGTGATAGTTTAGAACCTGCCAAAAGCATCTGCAGACGAAGATCTTGGATTTCTGTAAAAGATCTTGGATTTCTGTAAAGAAAGTGTTCTACAGTTGTTTAAGCCTGTAAAGCTAAAGATTTTCTTGAGCTTCAGCAGTCACAACTTCCTTAGAGAAATGAAAAACAGAAATATGCCAACTGAAGTTAGAAACATTTCTAAATGCTGAAAGCTACACTGTAAAGTATTCCTACTGCCATTTGTGTGACGTCCTACCATGCCTCTTTCATTTCTCTAAGGATGGAAAATGGTATTTGTCAGCTTCACACATTACTTACAGTGTGTATCAACTAAATTATAAAAACTATTGCTGCTCCAATTTAGTATCTCCATTACTGTGAAAAGCTCCGATGTTTGGATTTTTCAGATTGTTAATGTGCAAGAGGATTCCGCATGCTGGCTCCTGGCCCTGCAACACTTGGTGTCAACATACAATTCCACTAAATCCAGAGGGATTACTTGCATGACATTACCCATTCAAGCCCACCAGGTTAGACAAGACTGCAGGAATAAAGATTGGTTACTAGACCCATATTTTATTTATGTTACAAAAACTGGCAGTAAATAAGCTGGCAGCAGTTATTAAATATTTTTAATTGTGAGCTTAGAAATTAATTTCACTCTACTCTGGTGTTTACTACCTGTCATGACCCCTATTTCATAAAAATATCACAAGGATTAGCTCATTAATGTGTCCAAACTATTTTTGAATTAAGAGTGCCTTTCGGAGTTTTTTTACTAAGTCAACAGATAACCTCAGTGCATCATCATTCTTTTACAATACTTTCACACACCATCTATTTCTCACACTGTATTCTGGGTCTCCTGCCTTTTCCTTCAGCATTTATTACCTTCTACCTTACAGTCACCTACATTAAAAGAGAACCCACTGCTAAAGTCTCTTGTTTGCCGTTCTAAACATGCTGCTTGGCCAGTTTAGTAATTTTACTAGCTAGTGGTCTTTTTTTTTTTCTTTCTTTCTTTCTCTTTTTTTTCTAATAAAATAAAATCCAGTCTTTGTCCTGAGTCTCACACGTACAAATCTTCCTCTGTCTAGTCTCAAATTCTACCACTCCCCAGCTACCGCCTCATGAATTTCACATATTTTGGTTTTTAAGTCCCCTTTGTCACTCCTACAATTCACCTCTGTCCCTTAGTTTCCATCACTTACCCTTCCAGTTCAAAACACAGTAATTCCTTACAAACTATGGAATTATGGAAATTTTTATTATCCAGAAAAAGACTATCACTCCTTCCTCTACAACAACCCTATCTGCAACCTGATGCATGTTTTATAATTTACACTTAATTTTAAAACAGAAAGAAAAAAAAAAGAAAGGCAGAGTTAGAGGGGTTTTATCTCCCCACAGAAAACACTGGGAGGAATTATTTCTTGTAATATACCATCAAATTTTAAAAACCTGCTGTCAGTTAGAGTTTTCACTCTTCATAAAATTTATATACAATCTTATTTCAATCTTCTCTGATGGCAAAGTTGTAAAAAAATGAAATTAAGTTTTGTTCTCTATATATGTTCTCTCATTCCCCCTTGTACAATTAAAAATGTATTAATAAACTGTAATTTGTTGACATCACACACAAATTGGTTTAACCCTGATTAGTTTAGAGACCAAAAACACTTGTACTGCTTGTGTGATAAGAAGGAACCGAAAGCTTAAAATCATCACTTTACTGAAAACACTGCTAATTGAGTAATTTTAGCTACACAAAACAAATGTATAAAGGACTAGAGAACTGCAATGTGGCCTACACATAAAAAAGCTCTACACAAACACTACAATTCTCTGCTTTTGCACCTAAACACAGTTGAGTATCACATGAAGTCTCTCTATTAACACGCTTATATGTTATGTTTTCCCTCCTTCATTACAATCAAAGGCAAACAGTGGGTATAATCTATTTTCCCAAACAGATTTTGGAATCAGATGCACATGTTCACTCCGTGCCAGCCACAGTTACTCTGAAGTACACAACAGCTGTACAGGGCAAATCAGCTTGTGCTAAGCAGCTATCCTGCAGTAGAGATAAAGTACAGAAAAATACCTTCTGTTGCACATAACAATCACCAGACACAGACAGCCCTTCCTTCCCTACTCACGAAGTTCACAACGTATTTATAAATATTGCATTCAAGGCCATGTTCTGAAAACAAACTTTTAAAAACTGTCTCTGGTCTCAGAAACAGGAATAAGGCTCAATGCCACCTAACAAGAGGTATGGAACGTGGGAGATAATCCCACGGTTAAACAGACAGGCAGTGGTTAAAGTTTCAGTGCCAGGGTAAGCCACAGATAGACTGCAAGAGGTTAAAGCTGTCACTGCACTTCTCTGAGCCCAAGCGTGCTGGGTGTACAAGAGGGACAGCAGCTCATTTTCTTGTATTTATTCTTTGGCATAAAAACTCACATTTAAGCTCTTCAGGGTACGGACAAACACCTATGACCACAGCTGAGCACAGCAGCGTTTGATCTCGGCTATATCCTGCCAACTAAAAAGGAAAGCGGTTTCATCTTCTAACACTTCTCACGTTTGTAGCCTAAAGAGCAGCACAGCCGACTGGCAGAACCGGCAGATTCTCCCGCCCCGCAGCTGTCGAGCAGAGGGAGCGCGCGCACACACACACACACACACACACACACCCGCGCGCACACACACACACGCGCGCACACGCGCGCGCACACACACAAACGCACACACACACACACACGCGCGCGCGCGCGCACACACACACACACACACACGCACACGCGCACACATACACACACACACCCGCAGCCCCCGGGGCTGCCCCTCCAAGCAGGTCTCCGTTACCTGGTTAACATCGCTTTACACCACACGTGAAACGTTGCGGGTTTTTTTGTCTCAGAAGAGTTTATTCTGAAATAAAACAAACCACCCAACCTCGGTGACACAGACGGAGCGGCCGGAACAGGGAGCACCGGGGGGGCACAGCCTGAGGAGGGCAGGAGACCCTGATGGTCCCGGCGGGCACCGTCTCTCTAGCAAACATTCCTTCCTTCAACGTATTCCTACATTTTGGCAGATGTTTCAAACCATCCCTCCCTAACAACGCTGCTTCCCAGCAGCGGGGAGGCCGAAGCTCCGGGCACAGCAGTGACACCGCCGCGGGCTCCCGGGCGGGGAGCGGCCGCACCGC